TACCTTTTTATGAAGCTTTTTCAAAGTTTTATTTGGACATTTCGTACGTGTGATTAGATAAACTGTTGTCAGTCATGTTGTCATTTAAAATCCAGACATCATTGGTATTGTTATTTTAGTGTTTATGCAAACAAAAGTCATTTTATTTGTTGTTTATAAAACGATTTATGTGTCAGTAGTTTTTGAATATTTCCAGCACATTTTAACAATACCGTGATAATACTGATTCCCAGGATGATTTTGGTCACTATAATCGTGATAAGAAATTGTCATACCATTACTTCTTTATTCCATAGCAGTGAATGGGAGACTACATCAAATATATATTCTGCGTTCCCTCAAATAGCAAAAGAAAAACTCAGACAGTGTTTTCTTGACTTACAAAAGAGGACAAATGAGAGTGAGATTGATAAGCGTGTTGTCGCCATTGTGAAGGGATGCAGAAGCTTCTGCAGGATCCTCTTGTTCATGAACGCTTGCCTATTTGCAGCTGAACTGATGCAGTAACTGTCTTGAACTGAAGAGCGTCTAAGCGGTTCACCAATCACAACGCACTGGACCAGCTAACCAATCACATTTCGTGTTTTGGGAGGAGGGGCTTCACCAAAAACAAGAAGTGAACCGAGCGTTTGATTATGGAGCCAGATCGGCCTCAAAAATAACACATTTTTAAAACAAAATTCATAAATGCACAGCACAATTTACATTTACAAAATCTGATTCGTAAATTCAAAACACAATTCATAAATACACAAGTAAAATGAAGTATTGAAGATTAGGCATGGGCTGGTATTAGTATTGAGATTTTGACGGTATGATAACCCCTAAGCAAAAATATCACGGTATCACGGTATTGTCATTACAGCTCTAAAATGTGTTATTTTTAAATGACTGGGTAAAAAAATAAAAACTTTTTTCCGCTGAACACAATATATTTTGTTTTTGAGCAACATACAGAATATTAGAAACAGTAGAATTTGTTTATTTTTTCTTTGATTTGTTTCATAAAAAGAAGAAAAATAAAGACTGACATCGTTATGTAACCTAAATCTGTAATTACAGTTATTTAAAGTCCCCTTGTAGTCAAAAAATGTATCCTTTAAAACTCATCTTTGATCATAAAAATGATATTAAAATTTTTTTTCTTGTGAAAATAATTTTCTCATGCCTTAAAATAGCTTGAATGCAACTCTACACCCTTGCCTCGTTTACTATACGCGGATCTATGAATACACAAATTAGCCCCGCCTCCACACAGCAGCCAGCCATGAGCCAGTGCCTCCTGAACTGTACTGAACTGTAGTAAATGCGACACAATGGCAATGGCAAGTGGAAATTTTGGTTTAATTAAGCCATATGTGTTTGAATCAGAAATAAGCTGGTATGCTCAACGTAAGCAAGGAGACTGATGGCTAGCTTCGTGAGGTAACATTATCTGTTTGTGCTGGTTCATACACGGATAATGACTGATACAACTGTTTTTACTAGCGGACAACTACAGTGAATACTGTAACATTCATTAAATTTACCTACTTGACGATGTTGTGTCCTCAAAATGCCTTGAAGGCTCAAATGTAGCCAAGTTTGTGATTCCAAATCGCGCCGGCGATCATATACGTGTGACGTGCGGATGTCAATGCGGGAGAGGTGCGTCTGACTCCGGGCTACGTTTACACTGCTGCCGCGGGTTATTCTTCAAGTCAGCGGTTCTAAATACAAATAAATAAGCGCTAACAGCACATGACATCGTGAAAATAGGGGGAAATATTAACAGTTGGCGAAATATCTACAGAAAAATGATAACTGTTACCGTATTAACCTGGCTGGCTTCTCACTAGACCCTCTGCTTTGCAGCACAGTTAATGATATGCTAAGGATAGGATCCCTTGACGCCATTGGTTGAGTTTTGTGACGTAGCAAAACAAAGGCTGTTTTAAACCGCGTTTCTGGGTCAGCCTTTGGGAAACTACAGTTTTAAGGAGAAAATACTCAGCAATGCTGTTGATAAATAGATTGGCACATGGTTTGTCTAAAAGCATATTAAAAACAACACACAGACAAATAAACAACACAAAAAACTTGATTTTCACCACAGGGGGACTTTAATTTTAGATATATAATTAATATAAATATCATTTATATCATTTCATATAATTTAGTTATATCATTTCATATACATAATTTGATTTAATAATAACCCAATCTGAAGCAAAAACAGAATGTTCTGACTAGCTTTGTGAAATGATACTACATGCCTGAACGAAGCAAACAGCAGCAGCTCTGAATGAGATGCAGATTCACTCTCTGCCAGCAGGAGGCGCTTCTGGAGCAGCAGATACAGCGTTTCCTTGGTTACCGCCGTAAACAAAGCACTGCTTTAATATGAACTATACAGAGACGAGATTAAAAGAAAATACCACGTAAACTTTTCTGAAGACAATCAGTTCCCCTCAGAAACACATTCATATAAACCCCCAAATCAATATTGAGGATTTTCTTCCGACAGTTCGTGCATCATGAACAGTGAGTGATCTGCCAGCTACAGTATTTCTCTGTGCGTCAGTCTTCAATGTCTCTGGCCTGTGTTAACGGGCGTTTACAGACTTCATATTTTCACATACATGACATTTTGGAAGACGATTGCATTGCAGCGCAGTTTGTGCAAGTCCAGAACAGAGACGAGTTGCTTGCAATAAGACAAAAAAACGTCCGGTTGCTGATTGCGTAAGTTCCAGGAGAAGCTACTTAAGTTCGGCCGTCCTACACACACGTGACTGACTGCTTGCATGCACCAACAGCAGGAGGAGACTCGTGTTACTCTCTACACTGCACTCAACCTGAGGGATTCCTACACTTTCAGTCTTTGAGGAGACATGAAAAACAGCACATACCGCAGGAGCGGTATAACGGAAAATATTAGCGGTTTTGAAACCGTGAGATTTTCAAATTGCGATATACCTTGAAACCCGTAATCGGCTCATGCCTATTGAAGATTTGGAATCCGCTCTTGCCAGTCTTAGGGCTTCAACAACTGAGAGCAAGGCAGTCTCGGTCGAATGTCCACTTCTGAAACCAGACTGGTTGCTGTTGAGGAGGTTGTTCGAGACTTGGTTGAACACAACTCGTTCAAGTGTTTTTGCAATGAAAGGGAGAAGGGAAACCGGTCTGTAGTTCTCTAAAAGAGTTGGGTTAAGAGTGGGTTTCTTAAGAAGTGGGGTTATACCAGCCTGTTTAAATGTTGAGGGAAAAACACCAGTGTGAAGGGATGTGTTAATGATGTGAGTGAGTGCAGGTACAACTGCAGGAGAAATGGCCTGAAGGAAATGAGATGGAATAGGATCAAGTGGACAAGTAGTAGGATGATTGGAAAGGATGAGTTTGGAGACTTCTGCCTCAGAGAGTGAAGAGAAGGAGTGTATGTTTGATGGTAAGATGTGCTTGACAGATTGTGGTGTGGCAAATTGTGCACTGATGGTTTTAATTGTATTAATGAAAAATGTGGCAAATTCGTCTGCTGTTAGAGTTGATGAAGGAGGAGGAGGAGGAGATCAGTTTGTCACCCAGAGTGAAGATTTAGTCTCATATGAGAGTGATTTACTCGCATTGTAGAGGGTTGTCCGTCTTCACCGTCACGCAAGTTCTTTGATACAGCTGTGCGCTCACCACAGTGCAACAGTTAAAAGGGACCACTCTCAAACAGTGTCGTGCCGTGCCGCGTTCCGAAAGTTGTTTAAGCGACATACACTGGTATTGCAGTATATTTAAAAATTCATATCGTAACAAAAATAAACACCGGTATTCGGTATGAACCGATATACAGCCCAGCACTACGATATAAAATGTATGACCACAAATCTCTTTGAAACACTGATAGATCAGGCATGAAAACAAACACCATACTTTTGATAATAACTGCTGCACATGTTAAAGTGCTGTATGTTTTTATTGAGTATAAATATATAGCCAGTGACACGTCACACAGTTAAAATCCCCACCTAGAACTGATATATGAGAATGGAGATTTGTCAAAAAAAAAGAGATGAAATTCAGCAAGAATTAAAGTATAATAATAAAAGAGGTTCTGACCAGCAGTAAGGCTGAATTAATGTGTTGAAATGCCACAGCCGGTGGATTTGTCATGGCAGAGGATGATAAACCTGAGCAACTTGATTCTGTCTGTAGTTTGACGAGCAGAGCCGAGTCTTCTGAAGAAATCAGCCTGTTATGATGAGTCGATGCTAGTTTAGCAGCTAACACACCCCGTCATCATCAGGACAAGTTATAGTCATTTATAGAGAACTTTATACAATACAGATCCTTTCAAAGCAGCAAACAGTAATAAAGAGGGAAATAACCGTGAAACTCATCAATTTCTGCTGTATATCAGTTCAGATCTGATGTAGTTTAACCTCACTGCTCATTATTTACAGCAGAAACACAGGTAAGAGAACAGCTGAAATTGTGAAAGCCAAATAGACATAAAGGTTTGTGTAAAACCTGCAGAAAAGGACAAGAAAATTGATGATGGGCTGTTGAGTTGTTGAGAAGTAACGCACAGTCCTGTGAATTTGTGATTGTTCTTCCATTAGCGTCAGTTAGTTTTGTGCTGCTGCTGCTGTTTGTTATATTTCTCGTTCTTTCCTCCATCTCATGGACTCAGATGTGAGATATTCTTAACGTTATCTCTTCTGGTTGAAGCTATTCATTTCGTTTGAGCAGAGCAGCCTGAGCCGCTGATCAGAACACACCGAAGCGGTCTGCTGTTTGTGAGTTTCTCTGTGTCTGAAGCACACGAGGTCAGAGTCGAGAGTCTGTCCTCGAGACGCTCCCTCAGCTGTCAGGATCAGTGCTGTTCACAGTGAAGGAACTCTCGTCCGTTCACATTCAACGTCATTGACCCTGCTGTCATCCATGCTAACGCTCATGTAGCTGCACACAGATGCATTAGCGTGCGTATCGTGTTCTTTTCTCTAACTGATTTGCTCTGTTTCTCTGATCAGGGTCGACATGTCAAAACCGGGCAGCTGGCGGCCATCAAAGTCATGGACGTGACTGAAGTAAGTGTACATAGCTCACAGAGCCACGCTTTTCACATCAGTGTGTTCAACAAAACCAATGAATCAAACAGTATTATGAAATGGTCAAGAAAGGTAGTGTATGAATCCATAAACAACAGGAGGAGCACTGAGCTCAAGTACTGCACATCTGTACTCAGACAAACTCCTGCTGTGTGTGTGTGTGTGTGTGCTCAGGATGAAGAAGAGGAGATTAAGCTGGAGATTAACATGCTGAAGAAATACTCTCATCATAGAAACATCGCCACGTATTACGGCGCCTTCATCAAGAAGAGTCCTCCAGGACACGACGACCAGCTGTGGGTCAGTCTCACACACACACACACACTCACACACACTCCTCAGGAACCTCCTCCTGCCTCACATTTCACCTGATATCCGCTCTCAGTCTAATTTGTCTATGTCTGACCCACAGGTCAACAAGGGTTTCATCTGTGTTCATGTTAAATACTAACTAGATCAGATTCTACTCAAACAGCACTGTTCACTCTAGTGACCGTCTCGGACCTCACCGTCCTCACTGGGACTAATGATTTCTGATACCACACGCCTTTGGAAATATTAATGACAACAAACTTAATTAAACAACAGCACGTAGATTTCAAGTGTAATGAGTGTAATGTAACATGTTTCAGTCATTAAGAGAAAAAAATCTGGAGCTGAAGATCTGAGCAGAGTTCATCCACTGACAACAATACACACCGATCCCATGTGTGTGTGATTCAGAGCGGATGCACCACAGTCTTCATTAATGAGTCAAACTGAACAATAACATCAGGTGTGTCTGAGCCCTTCAGGTGTCATGCTTCTGGACTGCCTGTGTGTATGTTTTCCTCCCCATGTGCTCTCAGTGACCCAGTGTTTCTGTCTCTCGTTGATTGTTCATTTGATTCAGGTGTGTCTTTTCTATTACCCTCGTTTTGTCCTGTATTTAAAGTGTGGTTTGCCCTATGTTCCCTTGTCCAGTGTTAAACATCAATGCTATGTGCTGCGTGTGGTGTTCCTGCCTGCCCCCTATTTGGATAATTTAAAGACTGTTATTCATGAATCTCCTGCGTCTCCGTGTCCTTCACTCCTGCACAGCAGACACCCTGACAGAACACTGGACCAACAAAAAGAAGTATATTGCGTGTTCCCCTCCGTTTGTTTTCGTGTTTAGTTTTTTCCCCCCCAATGGATCCCCTCGTCGCTAAATTCACAGTCCTAGCCTGTAAGGACCTGCCCATCTTGGAGTATGTGGTTAAGTTCAGCCAACTCGCCGTTTTAACTGCATTCGACGACGCAGCGCTGAACTCACTTTTCTGGATCGGGGCAAATTACCATCGCCCCGTTGATCATCCGGTGTCTGGAGAGCATCCGGCCCCCAATCCAGAGCACAGCCAGACTCAGAGCCCAGCCCACCATCACCTTGCTGCACAGAGCCAAAGCCCGAGCCCGCCACACGGAACGACAGAGCTGAGGATCGCCGCGGAGCCCGAGCTTCAAGTGACATCAGACCAGGTGTGAGAGCCAGCTACATTGCTCGCCACGAGGGAGAAGGCCGTGGACAGCGAGAGTGCGGAGAGGAGCTCTGCCCACTGCACCATGGCTGAGGGTGAGCTTATTGTGTATCTGGGACTGCTGGACTTTGAAGGGGACTTAATATACTGGAAGGCAGATATATATGCAGACATGCCCATTTTCCTCCCACCTTCCTCGGACTTACCAGTCTGCCCTGAACTGTCTGTTAGCCCTGTTGTTCCCCTGTCTTACACGCTCCCGGTATGGGAGTCGCGATTTGGTGTGTGTGGGCAGTGCACATCGGCCCGGGGGCTCACGGATAGCCACCCACCTGCCCGCTCCTGCCTCCTCCACCGCTGTCGTCTGGCAGCCCCTCTGCTCACCCTCAGCCCACCATCTGTTCGGTGCGAGTACCGCGTGTCTGCCAGTCTCCATCGTCGGTGTGGCTGGAGAATCCCTTGCCTCCGCCTCGGCCTGTCCACCCAGTGGCTCCACCATGGCTCTTAGCTCCCTCCTCTCCGCCGGGCTCCCTCGTACCTCCGGCTCTGCCTTGGTCTGTCGTCGACCATCCGTTGCCTCGGGACTCCACTCCTCCGGCTCTGTCAGGCTCCTCCTTCCCTTCGGCTCCTCCTCGGTCCTCTGTCGCTCCGGCTCCACCGCGGCCTTCCAGATCCCCGCCTCCGCCTTGGTCGCCAGTAGCCCCTCACTGCAGAACACAAGATCCAGGGGGCGTGGTTGGATCCACATCTAGGGGGTGGAGATTGGTAGGTTTAGGGGTGAAGTTGGGTAGGTTTAGGGATGGAGATGGGTGGGTTTAGGGATCAAGGGGTGGAGACAGGTAGGTTTAGGTATATGTAAGGTGGGAGGAGTTGGATCTGGATCCAACCACGCCCCCTGGATTTTGTGTTCTGCAGTGAAGACCATCTCCTCGGTCGCTTGAGCCATCTGCTCCACCTTGGCCCTCCGATCCTCCCCGTCGCCCTGGCTCATCGGCTCTCCATCTCTGCCTCGGACTGCTCCACTTGCTCCGCCGCAGTTGGTCGGTCCCCTGGAGTCGTCAGCCCCTACTCCACCATGGCTCCACCGTGGGTCGTCTTCATGGCTGTGGCCTGGGTACTGCCTGGCTCTGCCTGCTCCAAGTCCCTCCTGTCTCCACCCTGGCTCCTCCCTCCGTTGTCTCCTCCCTGGACTCTGTTGGCCGTCCTCCTCCTGGGTTTCTGTCCACCACCCGAGCCTCCTCCTAAGTTCCCACCTGTCCCTCCCTTTGTTGTTCTGTTGTGCTCCGGGAGGGGGGCGAACTGTCATGCTCCTGGACTGTCTGTGTGTATGTTTTCCTCCCCATGTGCTCTCAGTGACCCAGTTTTTCTGTCTCTCGTTGATTGTGTTCATTTGATTCAGGTGTGTCTTGTCAATTACCCTCGTTTCATCCTGTATTTAAAGTGTGGTTTGTGCTATGTTCCCTTGTCCAGTTTTAAATGTCAATGCTATGTGCTGCATGTGTGTTCCTGCCTGCCCGGTGTTCCCCCTTATTTGGATAATTAAAGACTGTTATTCATGAATCTCCTGCCTCTGTGTCCTTCGCTCCTGCATAGCAGACACCCTGACATCAGGAGCATAAACTAGTGTGCTCACACTTACAACCTCAACGGGAAGTGCACTAAAAACACCAAACTAAACACAACAATCACGAGGCACTGAACAGTTGATCAGATAGCATGTAGTAGGTGATGTGAAAACAGTTTTATGTTGTTTTTATTGTTTAATGTTAAAACACATTATAAACATCACACGAGACAGACGTGAGCTTTCAGCCTTGAGACTGATATCAAGTTGACTTTCCTTGCATCTACAGCCATTGCCTGCATGTAAAGCTCTTCATTCCTGTACTTTAGGGAAGATAAAACGTGTCAAAACAGGTGCTTTACTGCAATCTGAAGAAAAGAAGAAGAGACCTGGAGGAGTGCTGATGGTTTGTTAATGACCAATCAAAAAGAGGTCTGTTTCAGTCAGTCCGGTGAAACACAGGATCTTAATGTGTTCTCAGTGGATTTCTGCAGGACTGCTTCAGTTATGCTCGGAAGGTCACACGTTCATATGGTCTGGAGAACGAGACCATGATATTTCCTGAGACGACTTGCCCCACACACCACTCCCCTGTGCATGTGATGTTCAGAGAGAGTCGGTTTGTGCTTTATTACCGTCAGTGTCAAGATGAGAGCTGTATTTCACACTGTGTGCTGAGAACTGATCGTCTTCAGATCCATGTTCTGTATCCGTAGACATCTGTGTGTGTGTGTGTGTATACTTCTGTGTGAGTGTCTGTATACATCTGTGTCTGTGTGTGCGTGTGTCTGTATACATCTCTCTGTGTGTGTGTGTGTGTGTGTGTCTATACATCTGTGTGTTTGTGTGTGTGTCTATACTTCTGTCTGTATGCGTGTGTGTGTGTCTACATCTGTGTGTGTGTGTGTTTGTGTCTATACATCTGTGTGTGTGTGTCTATATATTGTGTGTGTGTCTGTATACATTTGTGTGTGTGTGTGTCTCTGTATACATCTGTGTGTGTGTGTGTCTGTATACATCTATATGTGTGTGTGTGTGTGTGTGTGTGTGGGGGTGTCTGTGTGTATACATCTGTGTGTGTGTCTGTATACATCTATGTGTGGGTGTCTGTGTGTATACATCTGTGTGTGTGTCTGTATACATCTATGTGTGGGTGTCTGTGTGTATACATCTGTGTGTGTGTCTGTATACATCTATGTGTGGGTGTCTGTGTGTATACATCTGTGTGTGTGTCTGTATACATCTATGTGTGGGTGTCTGTGTGTATACATCTGTGTGTGTGTATGTGTGTGTCTGTATACTTCTGTGTGTGTGTGTATTTGTGTGTCTATACTTCTGTGTGTGGGTGTCTGTGTGTATACATCT